GGCAGCCTAGCTTCTCCTCAATTTAAATAAAATTTAGGAATATTTGGATGGAGTGAAATTCCAGAACATGCCATCATGCCTAAATTTTCCAGAACATCATTGAGGATCAAGGAGAAGGTGGCTACCGATTCTCCCACATGATCAACCTATAACAACTACTGGAGAAGCACATGATATGAAGATAGCCTGCTGAGCATCTGCAGCTTCTAATGTTATGTGAGGCTGCAGACCTCCAAACTAGGGGAAACACAGAAAAGACTATGAAGACTAATTAAGAAAGGTTCTTCACATTAAATATTTAACATTAAAACTATCTTGATATCATCTACATCTCCAGTTTCTTACTACGAGTCTATAACCCTGTTGTATGAGCACAGTCACCTAAGCAGATTCTACTCCATACACAACGCTATAGTCAGCAATATAATATAACCTGTGCATAGAATTCTTTTTTTAGAGAAGGAAGACATCTGAAGTACAAGAAATGCCAAGCCCACGCTGTGGATGATATGATCATCAAGTCTATGGTCTTCTCAACATTCTGTACCAACAAGATCCATACAGAGGCATTCAGAAATTAACTGCTCAAAACGTAAAGAATGAAACTGATGTGAAAAAGCAGCAAGTAAAGAGAGGAAAACATTCTGATGGCAAATATTTCTGGGCCTGAATGAAAAGCTGAGGTAGGTACTGCTACTCCAGAAGAACTTAGGGAGGAGCGATGCCTAAGAGAGTGCTCTACAAAATTTCTGCCTACCCACTTAATTTCTTGACAGGCTGCATTCATGTGAAGTTTTTGTCAAAACAAGGTAGCTGTCTGAAGACCTACAGCTGTGCAAGCCCAGCTGAGCCACACATTGGAACCACAATAGGGTCACACACCTAAACTCTCTTGGGATTTATAAATGAGGCATGCAAGCAGCCACCTCGCTTGAGAGGCCCAATTCACTACACGTTCCGCTGTGAATCTAATAACACACCAGTAGTAAGATACTCAACAAAACCCACAACAGATACCACTTTCACAGAAAGCCATCGGAATAAAAGCAAGTAGTGACGATGCTGTTTCTCACACTTAATGTAGCAGTACAGCGATTACAACACTGATCAAAGAGGTGAAAGACCTGCACCATATAGCTTTTTAGAGACACAAGTTTCACATCTGCTTTTCCCAGAAGACTGATCTAACATTAAGCTACAAGTGAGTTGAGAAAATAGTCTTCAATCTTCCTGTTGAAGCTGCACCATCATAAAAGCAAACACAAATGCATGAAAGCAAATTCATAAATTCCAAGGGAACAAGAACAGAAAAAGATCAGGCGTACAAGCTGAAGATACTAGGGACTGAAACCCAGGGACGTCTCAGGACTGCTAATTCACCTTAGATAGAGAAGTCACTGCAAAAATGCAAAATCAGTATCCCATACAGTGGTGACCAGAAGACTCCCCTAGTCCAGGTGATCACAATGTTGCAGAAAAGGCCAGCTGTTGCTTCATGATGATAGTGGCTTCCATTTTTCTCCCACTCTTTTAGAATGTGTTTTGATCAGTGAGAAGGCCTGCCTCTCAAGAAGAGAGATTCTACATACATAAGGATATAGTTTGAGTGTTTTGCTGCAACAGGACTACACACCTCAGAGAGGAGATTCCTAAAGAACTGACACAGAAAAGAAACACTAAGCTATTTTCAAGACCCATTTCCATGTATTTCTCAATGAAATGCAAGAAAAAAGAAGGCTGGCATTGGGGGGAGAAGCATCTCCAGTGCGCTGCATGTTCAGATCAATGTCAGGATTCCATCCTTTGGGCAGCATCCTGCACACTTGGTACAAAAACAAAACCAACCTCTCCTACCCCCAAAACCCCTACTGTATACTGAGGAGGTTATCTGTTAAAGAACCCAAGTAGATCAAACAGATTTAAGTGGTACTACACTGACCCCCTCAACTCCTCTCCCCAAACCTAACATCACATCCAAGCAGACAAAAGCAGTGGGAGAATTTATTCCAAATTACTTCTTGGATTTTGACTGTGGACCACAGTGTTAACCCAGCAGAAGGTGACTCATACTTCTCTCTTGCAGGCATTGTAGGGAGTAACCTGTATGTCAGCTACCAAGAATCTAACTGCTTCTGACTAGCAGAGCAGATGCCTTCTTTAAGCACGGAGATGGAAGGCCCGGATTTGATCAGAGACTGAGAAATACTCAGACCAGTTAGATTTATTTTTTTTTTTGGGGGGGGGGATGGTGTATGAAAGGCATCTGATAAAATGGTCCAGAAGAAATAGTTCAAGGTGATCATCTTCTGCCCTCTGAATTATTTTTATAAAGAAATTTAAGTTAAAAAAAACCCACCTAAACCACAAAACACCACTATTTGACTGCTTTTCAGCAGAATTATTACAGCAGCAGAAGGGCAAGTTTTAAACCTGGAGATAAAGATTACTACTAGAAAACCCCTTTACAATGTCAAGTCCTTTTAGCAGTAGAAAGTAATCCACAGACTGAAAATATATCTTCTTAAAAACAGTGTACAAATACCAGTATACAAATAAGGACTGCTGTCATGTAGTTCAAAAAAAATAACATGTCCAGGATTCTGCATCATGGCCAAGTGCAATTAAATATAGAGGTGGGTAAAAAAAAGAATAACCCATTTTTTTCCCCACTCATGTATAACTTTTGGGGAAAGCAGTATAAACCCAAACATTCATTGTTCTGTTTTGACAAATACAAGGAGTTTCTAAAATCTAAAAATTAAATTGAAAACATGGTAAGGAAATTTCAAAAGAAAAGCAATTATCAGGGAAAGAATTTATGTATTTCTAGACAGGTCTTATAAAGTTCATGGCTTTTTCAAAAGAAGAAAGAATTCCAATTATTTGCACATTTATGAAATATTTCAAGATTTTGTACAGCAGTTAAAAAGATTTTATAGCAATGTGGGAAACCACAACCAGATCTAATCAGATAAAGTAGGTTGATCAGTCCTTGCTTATCCTCTATACTCCAAGACATTAGGTGTAAGAGGGCAAACATACAAACATTCTCCTACCAAAACTTGCTCGTCACAGCAAGTGCACATATAGCACAGAGGAGATCTATGTGGTTATTTCTTCAAAGCATCTTTTCTTGCCATTAATCAGAAATCCAGGACCAAAGCTCTTCTTCACAACTTTCAGAGCACTTAAGTTCAGCGCCCTTATCCAATTCATTTCCAGTTCAAATTAAATTGTAGTTGAGTTCACAGTCACATGGGAATCTCAAACACTAAATCTTTTAGTTAAGGTTGCTACCTGTTAACCTGAACAATAACAGGAAGTCACCAAACCATTCTATAAAGTAAGAGTTATATTTTATTTTACCCCAGGCCACTACCCTAAGCTAATATATTCTAATATTTTAAAATGCTTTAAAATGTCTGTCCCCCTACCCTGACTTTTTGCAGAACATAGTAACTATATTTCAGAAGTCGCTAAAGCTCTATCTACATGACATAAATGATGTTTCTAAATAAGCTAATCAACTCTAAAAAGACTTACTCCTTTTTTGTCCTTCACCTGATCTTTCACCTAGTCTAGGCCTAATCAAGACAAGAACTAAAATATCGTCATCATTGCATTTTTAAAGAGTACAGCACCAACTGAGCTAGCACCATGCCATTAATGTTAAGAAAGGATAACGTGCTCATATCACACCTTTAATTCTCTTGTCTAGACTAGGATTTAAGACAACACAGTTGCTAAAATGCAACCCATCGACAAAGACAGTGTTCCAGTTGCACTCGTCATGGTAAACTGTACCTAGACTATACTGTTTGCCTTAGTGGAGCAAAAACTGAATACTAGTTCTGTACTGGAAACCTCTAGGAAAAAAAAACCTTACAAAAAACAGACCAGCAGGAAGCTAATGAATAAGAGAACATGAAGAAGCAGATAGCTATAGTTCTTGTTACCTTAACAATCACGTAAATCTTTGTACAAGTCACTACGTGCCAGGATAATTTAGCACCGCAGTCCCAATTGCTTCCCTATTCTCTCTCAAAACGTTATCATCACATACCACCTACACAATTTACGAGGACAAAAATGGAAAAAAAAAAAAAAAAATTTCTGAAATGAAATAACCACTAACCCCAGGTTTGTTCTTGGATGCAAAAAATAAAAATCTGACACTGAATTATTATGGGAAAAACTAGAAGAGGAATTGATTTAAGATTTTTGGGAGAGCCACCCACTCAGGCATTTCAAATTTTCATCTAAAAGCTTTCAATCGCCAAAGAATGTCTATTTTTGAAATTTCAGTCCAAGAAGTATGCCTGTTAACATAAGAGTTTTAACTAAACATACTGTTAACCAGAATGTTTTATGTATGACCATACAACAAATTTGTTTCTATCCACATACTATCCAAATGAAGATTAGAAAATCATGGTTATTTTGAAAGAAAAGACGAAAGTTACTGCCAACTGTGTTGGCTATAAAAAACAGTATTTAAAGAATTATTGTCCTCTAGGCAAAACAGAAATTCAAAGGCAAAACAGAAATTCTTAATGAGCAATGATTTTTTCTGATAAAATTTTCCAAATATTCATTGCAAAAATCTGTGTCAAAAACACTTAATGAAATGCAAGATAGAAAACATTCAACCCCAAGCATTAATGTTATATTATTGTACTAAACTATGAAAGCCATTAAAGTCTCTGTTATATTTGGTCTTTAACACATTAAATAGCATTTTTACAATACACACACAACCAAGCAATACTGCACAACTGAAAACAAATTCAAGAAGTCTTGCCACGTACTGTTCTACTATTTGACAATTGTAGCTATTCATATTTATTCACACACCTCTACAACAACATCAGCTACAGCAGCAATTAAGACCTGAAAAGAAAAGATGATGCTAAGTGATAGAGGCATCTCAAAAAAAGATATGCTATACTCTAAACTAGCACAATCTAAACTAAACATGCAAACAAAAGGAGCCTGCCTACCTGGCTTTTTCAATAAAAGTCCAAAGAACACCTAAAAAAAAGCAGGAGGGGATAAAAAAGATTTATTTTCAGTGCCCACATATGGAAACTATCATGTCATTTTACCTTACAAAGAAAAAAAAAAATCAATCTTGGAAAAGAACAGCTATACAATTAGCTGAGGAGCGGTGGGGGGAAGCAGCCAAAAAACCCCCCAAAACATTAGGAGACTCTGGTTATAAGCATTGTCTCAAATTCTCATGGTTTCCACAGAAAGTAACTCAAAGTAGCATGAATATTTCAGATGACCAAGAAAGTAAAGGGGG